AAATTTTCTTATCTTCTTTTCTTTCCTTATGCTTCCACTGCCCCCTTATTTTTATTCAATGCCCTTCAATTACACCTGAGGGTACTACTGCCCCCACCCACCCCATCATTCCAGCACCTCCCAGGGGCAGTATTACCTACTTTGGGAACCTCTGGAGCCTTGGTGGATAGAGTGCTAAACCTGGAGTCAAGAAGACCTGAATTCAATCCCACCTCAGATACTTACTAGCTATGTGACCCTGAGCAAGTCACTTAACCTCTGTTTGCCTTAATCTACTAGAGAAAGAAATGGCAAACCACTCTAGTATCCTTGCCAGGATAACCCCATGGACGATATGGTCCACATAATAATGAAGAGTTGGACACAACTCAACAACAACAAAAGGCTTACAAAGCACTTTACACATATCTCACTTTATCTTGATAATTCTGGGAAGTAAGTGCTATTATTATCCCTATTTTACAGGTAGGGAAATTAAAGCAGACAGAGGTTAAGTGTCTGTCTTGCCCTGTCACACAGCTAATGTATATGTGTGTGTATAAGTATATATGTATATGTATAATATATGTATGTGTATGTATATATATGATATATATATGTATGTATGTGTGTGTATATATAGATAAAGATATAGATATAGCATAGTTGTTTGCATTGCTGTCTCTCCCATTAGATTGTAAACTCTTTGAGGAAAGGGGCTGTTTTTGCCCTTCTTTGTATCTCTAGGGCTTAGCACAGCACCTGGCTCATAGCAGGTGCTTAATAAAAGCTTCTTGACTCATTTCATATAATATTATTTCATATAATAATAGCATTTATATAGTACTTTATGGTTTGGAAAGCACTTTACACATATTACCTCATTCTATCTTCACAACAACCCGGGAAGGTTATGTGCTATTGATGAGGATGGGAGCTAAATCCCAAAAAGGAAAAACCCTGGACTTTCCCCATGCGGTCAAATCTCTGGCGTTTGCCTGAGGCTATAATCCCATCAACTGGCCTTTCTTTGTGGCTACACCCAGTCTCCCAATTCTGTTACCCTTAATCTAGTTTAGCTCTCCATTGTCTTCCCTATGGCCCCTGGCCATTTCCCACCCTTAATCCTAGATTCCATTCTCCCTCGGCCCTGCAGTCCAGGTCCCAGGCGTTCTGTTCACTCCAGTTTACTGGCCACTCCCAATCACATCCTTCTTAGACCCCTCCTCCAGTCACCCCAAACTACTTGGCCACTCCTAGATCCCTTCCACAGTCTTTCTGTATATAAGGTCCATCTTGTCTCCATTAAGGTGCTCAGATTCTTAAAATCTAGCCATTGCTCAGATTTTTATAATCTAACCAATAGCTCATAGATGCTCAGATTCCTTAAGAGTCTAGCTAATATGGCAGATCTTTAATAAATCTTGTCTTTGGCTGAAAGAAGGCTTGGGTCGAATTTCTTTTGTGCAGGACCCATGTATCGTGATCTCAGGGTCCCAATACTCCTCAACCTCTAGACCTCATCAATGTATAAGACTCATGCAGTGATACTTCCACTCAATGCATTAGATCTGGCAGACTAGATAAAGAAAGGTTGAAAATAAAGTGATACATGAACCATTTCCTTTCTAGAAAAGGAAGGAGGTTTAGCAAAAGGAAAGAGTATTAAAAACACAGATATCCTCAGAGAACATAAATAAAAAGCTTAGGCCCTTTGAGTCTTCAGGAGTCTGGTGGAAAGGAGAATCCTTTCTCTTGCTCTCTTCTAACAGAAAGACAGAGACACCTTCCTATGCAGCCTGAGCCAATCCCAGAGAGCTTGAAATCTTTTAAGGGCCGTAGATTGGAAAAATCTCAGAAGTCAGCGAATTCAGCTTTTAATTTGAGAAGGAATCCCATCTTCAATATCGCTACCCTATTATCCACATTGCATACCTAATGTCTAATTTTCAGTTATAAAACACGACTTACATTTAACCCAAACCAATTTTTCACGCAAAATAGGACTAGAAGTTGCAAAGCAGGTGCTGACCAGCATTGATACAGGGAATCTATTCACCTGGGAATTTCCTCCACCAATGTAACCTCAGATCCAGTCTCTACTAGAAAATGAGCTATGCCAGACATCTTAACCATATGAATAAAAACCTATGTCATCCCCAGCCCCCTCTAACCTATCTTTCCAGACTTTACTCTCACCTCTACTCTACAGTGACCCTCTACTCCTACCACACAGTTCATACCTTCACCTGGGATAAAATCCCAGTTCCATCATAGGTTCATAGATTTAGAGATGGAAAGGACATTAGAGCTCATTTGTTCTGGCCTCTACTTTGCAGACGAAACTAAGGCCAATAAAAGTGAAGTGACTTGCCTAAGGTCACACAAATAGTAAGTGACAGAGCCAGGATTTGAACCCAGGTCCCCAGACTCTACATGCACTGCCCCTTTCACTCTACCCTTCCCAGTGTGACCTCTCTCCTGGGTGAGAGTAGGCAAGAAGGGCATCATAGTGCTGGGCTTAAGTAAATTAAATTCCCAACACTTCAGCCCACTTCCTTCTCTAGAGATCTCCCCTGGCATCATTTTATTTTATTTTATATTTAGGCAATTGGGGTTAAGTGACTTGTCCAGGGTCACACAGCTAGTTAATTGTCAAATGTTTGGGCTGAGGCCGGATTTGAATTCAGGTCCTCCTGACTTCAGGGCTGGTGCTCCATCCACTGTGCTACCTAGCTGCCCCCCTGCATCATTTTTAAAAAGCAAGAATGATCCCGACCCCATCTCTCTGGGATGGGCTCCTGGTGTATCTCCTCCTACCCTTTTCTGCCTCCTTTTATATGTTGTCTTCCCCTTTAGATTGCAAGCTCTTTGAGGGTCACAGTTGTCTTTCTTTTTATTAATTGTATCCCCAGAGCTTAGCACAGTTCCTGGCACATAGTAAACGCTCAGTAAATGATTATGGGATTTATTGGCTTGCTCCAAAACAAAACTGGTTTCAACTCACCTGGAGGGTAGAAATTACAGAAGAATCCATTGTAAAACAGCAAATCTCGCAGCACCACAGATAGGGTCGAAGGCCTCCTACTCAAGTACTTCAATTTGTCCTCCTTCTCTCCACACCAAAATCATCACCCAGTCTCAGAAATGACACTCTCCCCCTTTCCCTTTTTCTAAACACCTGCCCCAGCCACAAGTCTCTCCACACTTCAATATAATCAGTAGGCCACTTGAGAGCAGGAAAGGACCCTAGATATTATCAAACTCAATCCTCCAGAAGAGCAAACTGAGGCCCAGAGAGAGGAAAAAGTCTGCCAGAGGTCATACTGTGTTAGTTAGAGGGCCTGGACTAAAATCTGAGTTTCCTGACTCTTAGTACAGGTGTGCTAAAAGCAGTTCAGAGCATAGGGTCCCACCCTCAAGCCCCCCACCCTCATTTTTAATAGGAGTAGATATAGAAGGCCTTCTTCCCAAAGGTCACTCACTATAAGCAATACCTCAAAAATCTCTTTTTTTTTTTTAAGTAAGAAATTTCTTTTTTTACTTCCTCTGAGAACAGATGCATTGACTTTGGAAGTGCATAAAAATATATCCATGTAACTTCCTTCCCAGCAACCCCAAAGGGCCTACACCTTGAACACTAGAACTTGGGGCCCTAAAATGAAAATGTGAACGTATTGTATAGCAGCAATACCAACTTCAGCTTACCTGGAGGCTAGGGCTTGCAGAAGGATCCATTGTAAAACAGCAAATCTGTCAGCACTGCAGACTAGAGAAGAGGAAAAAAAGAGACTGGGATTAAAAACTTCCTCCCTGCCTTTCCCTTCTTCCTCTCCTTTCCCATTCTCTTCCCCCTCTCCCCCCCTCTGAATACTTAAGTAATCAAATGAGAGTTCCCAGGTACAGTAAACCTCCACACTTCAATGTTCAGGCTGCAAAGCCCAGCCTCCTGCATCCCTAAGGGTCACTCGAATCCCTCTCAAGCCTAGTGGCTGATCCCTTTTGCCCTCTCTGGGGCTTGGAGCCAGTAATGTCTGATAGGGCTCAATGCCCCATCCATTAGGCCCCTTAATTGCTCAGTTCTTTTCCTTCAAACTAAAGTTATTCCCTTTCACCCTCCCCATCAGAGCCTTCCTGGTCTCCTACAGTTTAGTCCTCATAAGTACAGAGAAGGGAGGTGGGGGGAGGTGTGGAGAAATTCACAGGAATGTGAACCTTATGACAAGGAACAGGTCAGCCAAGAGCCCCAACAGCAGGGGTGTGGAAGAAGGGAAGGCCAGGATTCCTGCTCAGGTCCTTTTATTTATCCAACCTTTCTCCACACCAAAATCATCACCGAGTCTCAGAAATGACACCCTCCTCCTTTCCCTTTTTCTGAACACCTGGCCCAGGCCAGGGAACTTTCAGTCACAACTCTCTCTACATTTTGGTAGAGGCAGCTGGCCATCAACCCACAGAACTTGAGAGCAGGAAGGGGCCCTGAATATTATCAAACTCAATCCTCCAGAAGAGGAAACTGAGGCCCAGAGAGAGAGGAAAAAGCCTGACAGAGGTCATATTGTATTAGTGACAGGGCCTGGACTTAGAATCTGAGTTTCCTGACTCTTAGTACAGGTGTGCTAAAAGCAGTTCAGAGCATGGGGTCCCATCCTTAAGCCTCCACCCTGATTTTTAACAAAGGAAAATATAGAAGGCCTTTTTTCCAATAGCCAAGCTTCATAAACAGAGGGTGAGACTGCAGTACCTCAAAATCTTCGGAATCCCTTGGTCTGTGAGCTCTGCAGAGCCAAGCAATTGTAGTTAGCTGACAATTAGAAGAGACCTATTACATACTCATCATTCCCCAATAACTTAGTATTAAAGATCAACGGAAAATGATGAGCCCAAATCAGCTTTCAGCCAGTCCCAGAGGAAGGACTGGCCCCCAAGTGATGACAGAAGCCAGCAATCAGTGCTGGGAACCTGTGACACCAGGCAGCAATGGAGAAGTTTCTCTTCTGTGTAACAAACAGCCAGCAGAGGCCCGGGGAGGGATCAGATCAGCTGGGCACACAGCTCGCTCACCTTTGCCTCCTTTCCCCGGCTGTTACAACACACCCATCTCCAACCCACTTGCCCCACCAGGGAGGACCTGACATTGGAAGTTCAGTAATGACATGGTTCGGGGAGGGGGGGGGAGGCAAGTTGAGGCAAGGCGGGGAGGGTGGGAGAAGTCCTTCTGCCTACTCAGGGAAAGTGTTAAGCACCCTGATTCTCATTTCGACGTGGGGTTTGACCTTAAGAGAGCCCTGAAGACCAGGATTATTCCTAGACTCACAGCTGTCAGTGGCACCGCTGATAGCTATGAGAAATCCAAGCCCTGAAGGGCAAATAGAGTCACAGTCTCACAGAGCTGGAAAGCGACCTTGGAGGTCACCCAGTCCAACCCACTTCACAGGAGTAACTTTTTCACGGGCACATAAGCAGTAAATGATAGAGGTGAGATTTGAAATTGGATCCTCTGGTGCCAAATCCAGCACTTTTTTCACCATATTATATCATATAATTTCTGAGCTGAAAGAGACCTTTTAACACAGAATGGCAGAGCCTTTGTTGTGGTAGTTGTTCAGTTGTTTTCAATCGTGTCTGACTATTTGCAACTCCATTTGGGGTCTTCTTGGCAAAGATACTGGAGTACTCTTCCCTTTCCTTCTCCAACTCATTTTACAGATGAAGAAACTGAGGCAAGCAGGGTAAAATGACTTGCCCAGGCTCACACAGCTAGTAAGTGTCTGAGGCCAGATTTGAACTCAGGAGGATGAGTTTTCCTGACTCCAAGTCTAGTGTTCTATCCACTGCACCCACCTAGAAGAGACCTTATGATATAGAATGTTGGAAAGGTTCTTAGAACACAGAATGTTAAGAGTTAGAAAGGTCCCTAAAATATAAGAAACAGAATGCTGGAGATGGAGGGGACGTTCAGCATTCACCTAGTCAAATCTTCTCATTTTACGGATGAGGAAACTGAGGCCTAGAAAAAAGATATGACATATCCAGTGTTATACAACTTAGCCGTAGGCTTTTTCCACAATACCATACTGTATCTCCTACAGTCCTGGTCTGTCCTTAATAGCTAAACACACCAAACACACACACACACACACACACACAACTTTGTAGTAATTTGAGAAAAGGAAGACCAGAGAAAGAGCGAATACACCCTCTCAATAAAAGTAAGGGAATTAAAATCTGTCCAGGGACTTTCAGCCCCGCTCTTTTCTTCCTCTCCTTCCCCCTTCTCAGGCTTAGTGCCAAGGTTATGGGAAACTTTGCTCTCATTAAAAGTTTTATTTATACCCTCTCTTCCAGTCCCCTCCACGGTTCTATTGTCAGCATTAGTCAGAGAGCATTGGTGTGTTATATTTGCCTACTCAGAGAAAGTCAAATACAGAAATAAGAAAGGAATGTGGCAGATTCATGGCCTCAAATTCCAGATTCTAAGTTATTGACTGTAAGCAGGACTGAGCACCCTTCACCTTGGCCTCAAGCCTCTTTGGAGGTGGGACCATAGTTCAGGCAGTATCAGGGATCAAACCAAGAGCCTGGGCCCAAGGACAGTCAATAAAAGGTGTTTCTATTTGGTGTTAAACACCGCCAAGTGGGATTGGCCAGCGGGAAGGCAAGATCTGAAACTGTCAGATTTAGGCAACAGTCTACCTGTACTAGAGAAGGAGCTATGAATGTCTCCCCTCCTCCCTCCATTTGCCTTGCCCTCCTCCCATAGTCAGAGGAACTTCCAAGGTCAGATGGTTTACTGGAACCAGCAGACGAAAAATACTCAAAAGCCAAAAGATGGAACCGACCTGTCAACTTTCCCTGGGAGCGGTTGGATACTGACCTCACTTAGGAGCTCCAGACCCACTCCTTCCTGAGCTGACCCTGGGGCATTTTCCCAGGCTGAGCTAAGGCACTTCACTTTGTATGCTTCTTGAAATTCACAGAATTTTCAGAGATATATCTTAGGGGTGGGTCATGGTCATTAGGGCTAAGCATAAAACCCTCTATTTCTAAAGTTCAGATTTCAACCAGAGATGGAAACACTGCCGAGCACAAAACCAAACCAAAACAAAAAACCCTGTGAATTTCCCTACTCCAAAGACCCAGGGTCCTTCCAAAGTTTTTTGTCTTCTGGAGGAAACTACACCTCTTCATGATACAATGTAAACTCTTTGAGGGCCAAGATAGTTTCATTTTTGTCTTGCCTCCCCAGTGCCTAACACATTACTTTGCACAAAGTAGTTGCTTAAATATTTGTTGAACTGGAAAAACAAACCCAAATATTTATAAGGTGCTTAATCTGTGCTTGGCAGTACTCTAACAACGCATCCCCTTCCAAAAAAAAAACCAACAACACAACTTAGATAAGACAGAGTTCTGGCTTCAGTGAAATTTACGATTTGCAAAGGGAGGAACATACCAACATAGATAGCTATAATATAAAATACATGATAAGTGCATTGGAGGGGAACAAAACAAAGTGCTATATGAGGTCTGAGGGAGACAATGGTTAATTCAGTACCTACCTCCTGGTTTTGTCACAAGGCTTAAACAAGATAATTATACGTGTAACAAATAAGTATAACAAATAAGAGACGTATACATGTAACAAACTTTGAAGTACTACACAAATATTATTTATTACTATTATTGGTAGCAGGGAATCAGGGAAGGCTTCCTGAAAGACATGGCATTTGGGCTGGCCTTCAAGAATTCAAAAGGTGAAGAAAGGAGGAAGCTCATTCCAGGGATAGTAGAAGTGGGAGAGCGCACCAGGATGTGTTTGGGGAGGGGAGAAGCTACATATAGAAAGTTGTCCAGTGTAGCTGGAGCAGAGAATGTGTGATGGAATATGATATAAGGCTGAAAAGGTGGGGCAGTGTCTAATTGTAGAGAACTGTGCGTGTCAGACAAATGAATGAATCTGAACTTTACCCTGAAGATTTCTGAGCACCTGATCAAATCTATTTGTAAAAAAAAAAAAAGAAAGAAAAGGGGAAAAAAAGATTATTCTGGAAACATTCATAAAAAGGGTTGGATTGGAAGAGAAAGAGCTGGCAGGAATTCTATAGGCAGGTAATAAGGATTTTTAGTAAGGTAGGAGCATGTTGTTTAAAAAAAATGGAGGAAAAGGGGTAGAGAAGCAGGGGTAGAATCTGGACTCTCTTTTCTTCCTTTGGTTTGGCTGACTTATCTCCTAGCTCTCCTCTGACTTGTCTAACCACTCTTTTTCATTGTCCTTGGCTGATTTGTCATAGCCTTTCTGCCCTTCAGTATAGATGCCCTTCAAGGTTCCACCCTTGGAAGGAAGACAAAAAGGAAAGAAGCATTTATTAAGTACTTACTGTATGCTAGGGACTGTGTAAAGTGCTCGTGATACAGATACAGCCAATTGTTGTCATTTGCAGCACTTATGTTCTATAAAGTTGCCACAAACACTGAATTAGCAATATCTCCTAGGGCAGATAACAGGGTTTGGTTTCTGAGAGCCTCTGATCACTACATTTTCATCAACTAATCAATACATAACCTTGTTTTATGTGTTTCTGTTTAAATTAAAGTCACCTTATTTAACATATATTTCTTACACATAATTATATGGGAATTTCCTCTTCCTTTTTCTGAATGCACAATATTGTTGATTTATTAACCTTAAACTGATGGCAAACGACACTATAACTCAAGCATTATCTAATGCAGATTCTTTCTCCATAAGACACATCACAGCCTTCTGTGCTTAGGCAATACTAGAGAACACTTCAGCACTATGCCTGGGGGCCATTCTAAACAGCTAAATCACCAACACAAAAGCAAAAAAAAAAAAAAAAGTGGCACTAAATAGACAGCAAAAAAGACATGTGTTTACTGGGATGAGAGCTGAAACAAGAAGACAGAGCATTGCCTTGTTTGACCTCCCCTGGGAGCCTGCGCATAGAGTGACTCAAATTTTTCCGCACTCTGCACATGTCCAAGAATGACCAGAAAAGTGTCTCAAGTATTGATTTCAGAGTTACAAATAAATTTTAGTGACTAGAGGAATTCACAAATATGGAATCTATGAACAATGAGGATTGACTGTATAAGCAAAAAGAACGAAAATCCCTGGCCCCAAGGAGCTTTTATTCTAAGAGAGGAAGACAACACACAAAAGGGAATTGAGAAGTTGAACCATGATTGGACCATGGCCATGATTCTGAAGTCAAGCAAGTTAGCAATGGGGAAGGGCAATGAAGGCAGGCTGGCCTGAGCCCTTGCAGACAGGTACTCCAGGTTGAACAGTGGTAATAGAATGTTCCAGGGCAAGGAGGCCCCAGGCACTGAGGGAAGTACAAGAATGAGATGACAGTACAGACAGAATTATGAAATCCAGAAATTCAGAAACAGGACCGGAAGATATTCTTCCTTATACTCTCTCCCTTGATCTCCTCATAAGCTTCCATAAGTTCAATCATAACCATTATGCAGGTGACACCCAAATCTGTATATACAGCCCTCATATTTCCTCTGAACTCCTATTCATCATTTCCAACTGTGTACTAGACCTTTGCACTTGGATATCCCATTGGTACCCCAAATTCAACACATCCAAAATGAATCTCATTATCTCTATGCCACCCCCCACACCAGACCCTTCCCTCCTTCTATTTTCCCTATCTCTGTTGAGGGTAGCATAGCATCATAACATCAGCATCATCCTTGACTCTTCCCTTTCCTTCAACCTCTACATCCAATCATTGCCAAATCTTATAAATTATACCTCCACAACGACCCTTATGTCTATCCCATTTTCTCCACTCACATGACCACCTTCATAGTTAGGGTCTTCATCCCCTTTCACTTGGATGATTACAATAGTCTTCTCATTGGTCTCTCTGCCACTGATCCCTCCCAATTCTCTGCCAAAATCATCTTCCTAAGGCACAGATTTAGCTATGTCATTCCCCTGCTCAAAAAACTTTTGGTGGATCTAGGGATATCTTATTATCTGTAGAATGAAATATTCCTTAACCAGTTTCCAAGGTCCTCTACAGTCTGGCTCTAACCTACCTCTTCGTTCTTATATTATAATATTCCCCTTCATGCATTCTATTTCCTAGATAAACTGGGCTACTAGTTGTTCCCTGAACTTGATGTGTTATCGTCTTTTGCCTCCATATATTTGCATAAACCATCTCTCCTGCAATTTGGAACTATGCCCAAAGGACTATAAAACTGTGTATGCTCTTTGACCCAGCAATATCACTGCTAGGTCTGTATCCCAAAGAGATTTTTTTTTTAAGTGAAGGGGGGAGAGGAAGGACCTATATGTACAAAAATATTTATAGCAGCTCTTTCTGTGGTAGCAAAGAATTGGAAATTGAGAGGATGTCCATCAATTAGGGGATGGCTGAACAAGTTATGGTATATGAATGTAATGGAATGTTATTATGCTATAAGAAATGATGAGCAGGCTGGTTTCAGAAAAACCTGGAAAGACTTATACGAACTGATGCAAAGTGAAGTGAGTAGAACCAGGAGAACATCATACACAATAACAGCAATATTGTATGATGATCAACTGTTAATGTCTTAACTATTCTCAGCAATGCAATGATGCAAGACAACTCCAAAGGACTCATGATGAAAAATGCTATTCATCTCCAGAGAAAGGAACTGATGGAGTCTGAATGCAGATCGAAGCATGTTATTTTTCACTTTCTGTATTTTTTTGTGGATTTTTTTTCTTTGAGTCTATGTCTTCTTTCACAATATGCTTAATATGGTAATATATTTTGTGTGATTGAATGAGTATAACCCATAATATATTGTTTACTATCTCAGGCAAGGGGGAGGTAAGGTAGGGAGAGAGATAATTTGGAACTCAAAGGTTTTTTTAAATGAATGTTAAGCATTGCCTTTACATGTCTTTACAAATAAAATATTGTTTAAAAAATAAACCATCTATCCTGCCTAAAATGGACTGCCTCTTCATCACAACA